GGATAATACCTAAATATACCTACCTCAGAAGTAATGTCTTTCCCTTTTTTTCTGGCAGCACATGTCTTTTGAGGAGGTGGCCGTGTATTTCACCCGACAGGAGTGGGATCTCCTAGATCCAGGCCAAAGATCCCTGTATAAAGAAGTCATGCAGGAGATCTACAGGATGGTTGCCTCCCTGGGTAAGTTTACAGAATTCATGCCAGTGGCCAGCATGGCTGAAGGTCTTGTAGATATCTTTCTTAGTGGGAAGATCACAGAATTGCCCCTGGATGTCTGATCAGCCAACACTGAATCTGCTCAACAATCTGTAGTACAGCATTTCCACATGGTGTAGGGCCTTGTAAAGCACAGCAGAAAAGGGAATTCTGTCTGGTATGTTTACAGGGTACAGTTGTATCCCCTATACCAGTGTCAGCGAACCTTTTTGAGCCTGAGTGCCCAAAGTCGGAGGTGGGGGTGGGCAGTGGCAGCAGAAGCGGAGGTGGCGGGAAAAGAGAGGGAAAAGAGGCAGAAGGGGGAATCCCAGGCATGGAGGTGCCTCCAGACCCCACTCCGGATCTGCCTCCAGTCGCCAGCTGTTCTGGATCCTGGCCTGCCGCCTAGCTCTGCTAGGTTTGGCTGCGCGGAGGGGGGGGGAGCCTACCATCATCGGTTCCAAGACCTTTGCCTAAAGGGTAGCCTGCATCCCAGAGCAGGGACATGCAAGATGCACACCTATCCAGCCAGATGACTAAAACCTACCAGCATCACTAACAAGATAGTGGAGTACGTGGTCATGGAACAACTCAGCTTTGCCTGGTCTCTGGAGTTGGATAGCCAAGGTTCAGCTTGGCTCCCTTGAGGAAGCTAGCAATATACTGGAAGCTTACTGGGACACAGAGTAAAACTGGGGCTACTGAGCTGGGCCAACCTCAGATAAAGGTCATGCCTGGCAGCAAGCTTCAGGAACCAACAGGACAGACCCTTTATGACCAAACTGGTGCCCGACACATCTCCAATTCCTGCATGTGGATGTTCTGACAGGCAGAGCCCCATCACGTAGTGTGGTGCAGAAGGGACCGCGAATCCCTTTGGGTGTCCCTGTGGTGGCCAGTCTTCAAGGCGCCTTCCTAGAGGACGTCACAGGGGCAAATGGCCCCACAGCAAGGTTCCCATGGACACTATTCCCTATGTTGGTTAACTGGTCTTCCTCCTCCTGTACTATGTTACCCAGATGAGCCCTACTATGTCTGTACAGACTTTGGCTGTGCATCTTGGGAGGAGTACCGCATGCATGGGGCTGCTGCTGCTAGTGGTGACTATGGGGAATAGCTAGGGATGGCACTCGAGTATTAGTGAGCTTTTCCAGTTCATATTTCTTTGTCTTTCTCAAAGTCTGGTTAAAGTTCTGTTTTTGTCCTGTTCTGTTTCCACTGTCTTCAGTGCCCAGTAAAGACTTTCTCAAAGTCTGGTTAAAGTTCTGTTTCCACTGTCTTCAATGCCCCGTAAAGCCAAATAGGATACTATATAGAAAGGAATATCTGCCCCTTATGAAAGTAACAGGCTATAGAAAAACAAGATCTGGTTGCAGCAGAGGGCACAGGGAGGAAAAAAAGTGATAATCCCTTAGACAGCTAAAAAAAAAGAGTGAATAATTCACGCTCAAGTTAATATTCGTAGCTTTCCCTGAAATTCTATAACAGGAGATTAAGTCTCTGTTTCTCTCCCAAATTTAGGTGATCATCAAGAGGATGAGAACTTCCAGAAGCTATTCATTGCGCCATGCAAAGTTAGGGAGCCTGAGGAAAGAAGAGAGAGATTTTGGAATCCAGAGGGAAGAAAGACTGATATGCACGAGCAGCCCAGAGAAGGAAAAAGAAAATCCTCCATTTCTCAGGATGTAGATTATAAATCAAAGGGATACGGCTTCATCCAGTCAGGATCAAAATGGTGTCAAGGCATGGACCCTGGAAAATATTTCAGCAATTTTTCGGATCAAAGCAGCAGCAAAGGGGAGAAGCCATGTAAATGTGTGGTATGCGAGAAGAGCTTCATTTTTAGTTCTAGTCCTGCTTTACATCAAAGAACTAAGAGAGTAGAGAAGCCATTTAAAGGCATGCAATGTAGAAAGGGTTTCAGTCAGAAAAGGGGTCTTAGGCTGTATCAAAGCATTCACTCAGGATTGAAACCATATAAATGCATGGAGTGTGCCAAGAGGTTTAGTCAGAAGGAGGACCTTAGGCTGCATCAAGGTATGCACACAGGGGATAAACCATATAAATGTGTGGAATGTGGAATGAGTTTCAGTTGGAAAGAGCCCTTTAAGCAGCATAAAAATATTCATATAGAAGAAAAGCTTTGTAAGTGCATAGAATGCGGAAAGTGCTTCCTTCAGAAAGGGGACCTTAGACGCCATCAGAGAACTCACACAGGTGAGAAGCCATATAAATGTATGGAATGTGGAAAGAGCTTCAGTCAGAAAGGGAATCTTAGCTATCATCAAAAAACTCACACAGGGGAGAAACCATATATATGCATGGAGTGTGGAAAGAGCTTCCGTCAGAAATGGGGTCTTCGGTTGCACCAAAGACCTCACACAGGAGAGAAGCCATATATATGCATGGAGTGTGGAAAGAGCTTCCGTCAGAAATGGGGTCTCCGCTTGCATCAAAGAACTCACACAGGGGAAAAGCCATATAAATGCATAGAATGTGGAAAGGGGTTCAGTCGGAAAGGTTGCCTAAGACTGCACCACAGGTTTCACACTGGGGATAAGCCATATAAATGCATAGAGTGTGGTAAAATCTTCAGTTCAAAAGGGTCCTTTAAACAGCATAAAAATATCCATACAGGGCAGAAGCCGTATAAATGTAGAGAGTGTGGGAAAAGCTTCAATAGGAAAGGGAACCTTTTTCAGCATCAGAGGACTCATGCAGGAGAGAAATCGTATACCTGCAATGAGTGTGGAAAGACCTTCAATCGGAAAGGCAATCTTAGGCTGCATGAACGAATTCACACAGGAGAGAAGTTGTATATATGCAAGGAGTGTGGAAAGAGCTTCCATCAGAAATGGGAACTCCAGCTGCATCAAAGAACTCACACAGGGGAGAAACTATATAAATGTATGGAGTGTGGAAAGACCTTTCATCAGAAATGGGAACTTCAGTTGCATCAGAGGACCCACACAAGGGACAAAATACATAAATGTATGGAGTGTGGAAAGAGTTTCAGTCATAGTGGGTCTCTTACTGCCCATCAGAGAACTCACACAGGGGAGAAGCCTTATAAATGTGTGGAGTGTGGAAAGAGCTTCAGTCAGAAAGGGAATCTTTGGCGGCATCAAAGAACTCATACAGGGGAGAAACCATATAAATGTTTGGAGTGTGGAAAAATGTTCAGTCAGAAGCAGTCTGTAGCGCTCCATCAAAATGTCCACAAGAGAGCAAACAAAATGCATGGCGTGTGGAATGAGCTTCTGTCATAAATGGATCTTTAGGCAACATCAAAATATTTACACAGGAGAGAAACTACATAAATGCATAGAATATGGAAAAGTAGCTCCTTAGGTGGCATTCAAGAACTCACAAAGGAAAGAAGTCACATACATGAATGCTCCCTTCATACAGTAACTTTGCAAAAATAACTACAAACGAGGCGGATTGGACAATTGTAATCCAGATGAGATCTGCAAACCTCTAGATATTACTACACTACTACTCTCCCAATTCTTTAGTATTGCCAAAACTGGCTGGGATTGATAGGAGCTAGAATGCAACCACATCTGGAGACCCACATGGTTCCCCACCACACCTGAACAGAAGCCGAAATCAGATTTGGACTCTAGCCTCTTCTTTTTGTCTTACTTGAAAGTTTTAGGATATACTGCCTTTCGGACTGAATGTGTACCCTGTCTTTTCCTTTTTTCCCCCTCCTAAGTGGATTTTTTAAAACATGATTTCTGCTTAAATATTATAGTGGTTCATTTCTAAAGTGAATAAATATTTGAATGACTCTGAATAATATTTCTTTAGCTTTTGCAAAGTCTTCAGTCTTGTAGGTCACACTTTTGCAATTGGAAAATAGGAAAACTCAGAGTAATTTCTTGTCGCATTAAAAGTTTAAGGATATCCCTAGCCAACGTGACTTGATGGGACATTTGAGAGGACATAGTGCAGAAATGTGATTTGCAAGCAGAACAGTTCTTTTTTCTTTTTTTCTTTTTTTCTTTCTTTCTTTTTGTATGTTTCTTTTGTGATGATCAGGGGGCTGGAAACCAAGCTCTGGGAGGATAGACTGAAAGAACTAGGCAGGTTTAGCCTCAAGAAAAGAAGACAGAGGAGTGATATGATAGCATTTTTCAAATACTTGAAAGGCTGTCATTCAGAGAAGGGACAGGATCTGTTCTTGATCATCCCAGAGGGCAGAATGCGCAACAATGGGCTCAAGTTACAAGAAGCCAGATTTCAATTGAATATCAGGAAAAACCTCCTAACTGTTAGAGCAGTATGACAGCGGAACCAATGACCTTGAGAGATGGTGAGTGCGCCAACACTGGAGGCATTCAAGAGAAACTTAGACAATCACCTGGCAGATATCCTTTGATCTGTATTCCTGCATTGAGCAGGGGGTTGAGCAGATGGCCTTAAACGCCCCTTCCAACTTCACTATTCCATGATGATGATTCATTTCTTTTTGGGAATACAGTTAACTCCCTGGTGCCAATGGAACTGCATGCATTTTGTTTATTTGACCACTGGCTCTGTTCCCCTTGAGTTTCTACAATAAAAGAGCCTGTTTCTGTTAACACTTCTAGCATCTTCATGGAAAGAGGTGCGGGGACTGCTCTCACTGGTGCCCAACGTGGAGCTTCTTCCCAAGCCCCAGGTTTGCCACTGGGAGGCAAGAGCACCTGATCTGGCAGATGGCAGAGCAACAATGCATATTGGTCAGTCAAGTCCTGGTGGGCCACCAACAAATGACTGAGCTTATATAGGCCGTGTCTGCTGCCGCTGTTCACCCCTCCTGGATCCAAGGGCCCTGGCCTGTTTGGGTCCAGAAGATGGCCCTGGGCAACAAGCCTGTTTGTTCTCATGGAATGGGCCAAAGAACAGTGGGCCTTGGTGTTGTCTCCCTGCCGTATGAGATTAGCCCAAGAGGTAGTAGATACATTGGACCCCCCCCAGGATGCTGCCCGTTACGAAGCTTGCCCATGATTGCCTGCTGGCTGGACACCTTGAGGCTGAAAAAAATAAGTACCTGCATACACCAGAGGCTTTACTCCCAAATACAATGTTATCGCTGGTCTTGTCCAGCTTGCAAAAAAGCACCGCCCAAATTGGGGCTGGTGCCTCACTAGTTCCCATTGCTAGTGGTAAGCCCTTTGAGAAGATAGCCTTGGACAGAATGGATCCCTTTGCAGGCATACATATGCATATTCTAGCCGATGCCATTTCCTACCCAGAGGCAGTTGCCATATGTTCCACTACAGTCCCAGGGGTCTTTGAGGTTTCCTGAAAGCTCTTCTTATTATGCATTGGCACCAGTTTCCTTAGTCAGACACTGCAGGAAATGTGGAAGCTGTTGGACATCTGCCTGCTCTAGACCTCAGTTCATCAACCCTAGTCCAATGGGTTGGTAGAGCATTTTAACAAAACCCTTAAGGCCATGGTATGGAAACTAGCACAAAACTGCCTCATGCAGTGGAACCTTGTGTTATCTCCATTAATGTTTACAGTTAAGGAAGTCCACAAGCCTACCTTGGTTTCTCTCCCCATTTGGGTTCCTGTATGCTGCCAGTCATGTGGAGTGGTGGGCTTGGTTAGAAACCAGTGGAAGTCAGGCAGTAATAACCTTACAGGCTAAAGAAGCTCAGTGGGTAATTTGAGGAAGGTTTACCCAAAAGGCAGCAACAGCAATTATGAGATCTTGAGGCCAAATTCCATTATGCTTTGTCTTCCAAATCAGTGCACACCTCATGGGTAAAACATTGTATTAATACCCCACCAAGAATAGTAGTGTGCTCAGGGGCTTGATCCTGGCCACATAAAACACCAGATAATCATAAATGAAGTGAAATCTATGATAAGAGCTAGGAGTCACTGACCCCCTGGCAAAACCACCCTGTTGAGGCCCAAGCTGGATAGGAGTGTCCAATTTTGTGTAGAGCAGACTATTAGTGGATAAACTCTGTGTCAAAGTTTGACACCCCATGCCCCAAGTGGATGAATTACTGGAAAAGTTAGGGCAAGCCTCATATCTGTTCTCTCTAGATCTCATTAGAGGTTACTGGCAGATACCATTAAGGGCATCTGACAAAGAAAAAACAGCCTTCACCACCTCCTTGGGGGTTACATCTGTTCTCTTATATGCCCTTTAGCCATGGGATGGCCTTGCACCTTATAGACCAGGTGCGACCAGGTACTTTCCTCCATGAATGAATTTGCCACTGCCTACATAGATTACTTTGACCAAACTCTGGGAGGCAGTGGAAGACAGGAGGGCCTGGAGTGCTCTGGTCCATGGGGTCATGAAGAATCGGACACGACTTAACAAATAAACAACAACAACAACATAGATTACATTATTGTCTTTAACTAATTCTTGGGAAAAATACTTGCAACATCTACAGGCACTTTTGAAGATACTTAGGGAAGCGGAGCTGCCAGACAACCCCTGCAAGTGTAAGATAGCTCAGTCACAGGTATAGTATCTTGAGAGGAGGCAAGATTAGGTCTGTCTCTTCCTGACCTCAGAAGAGCACAGAAAAACAGGCTCTTTTATTATTAACAAAGAGGTGCAGGAATTCCTGGGACTCATAGGCTTTTATAGATAATTCATTCTCCATATTTTGGAGGTTGCTGCTCCCTTGAATGAACATACTCTGAAAGGGGCTCCAAAAGAGGTCCACTGAAGGGAGAAGGAGCAGTGAGCCTTTGAGGTGCCCCTTGTTTGCTGCTTAGGGATCATACCCCTTTACAGTGGCTCCAGAGGATGAAGATTTGAACCCTAGGCAGACCAGATGGTATTTGGCCTTGCAACACTTTGCTTTCCAGGTCCAGCATCAGAAGGCTCCAGAGGATGAAGATTTGAACCCTAGGCGGACCAGATGGTATTTGGCCTTGCAATGCTTTGCTTTCCAGGTCCAGCATCAGAAGGATCAGCAACATGCTAATGTGGACTACTGTTGGCAAGGTGATGTCTCTGCTTTTCAAGATGCTGTCCAGATTTGTCATCGCTTTCCTCCCAAGAAGAAGGCGCCTTTTAATTTCAGGGCTGCTGTCTCCATCTGCAGTGATCATGGAGCCCAGGAAGATAAAATTTGACACTGCCTCCATATCTCCATATCTATTCCATATCAGAAGGGTCAGCAACATGCTAATGTGGACTACTGCATTTTTCTTGACAGGAACTGTGCGACACTGGTGACAGCGAGGTGACACCCACTTGGAGGGTGTGTGTGAGATTAATATCATCCACAATCACAAAGCAAAAACCAGTAATTTTACAGATTATATGAGTGAGCTGCTATGTATTCTTTTTTAAAATATCTTTTAAAAGATTTTACATGAGAAATAGACACTGTTTTTAATGTCTGTTTGGCCAGGAAGGAATTAAAAAGTTCTCTTTAGAGTCATTTCATTTTTACCAGTTCAAAATGTCATTTATCTCCTCCCCAAGCTTGAAAGAATGTTTACATTTAAAATGTTTGTGCAGGTAAGAAAACAAAGAACTCTGAAGTGTTTTGTCTCTCAAATGACTATTTTTAATGTCACATTAAAGGGTGTGTGACAGGCTTATGTTTAAAAAAATCATAACTCAAAAACCATTTGCTGAAATGTCCCCATACTTGGCACAGAGCAAGAGCATACTGTCTGCTACATTTAAATTCAATGCTGATTTGAGGTAAAGTTTCAAAGTTATAATTTTTTGTTTGGGGCACCCCTATTTTTTAACTTGACTACTGGAATGCTGAATGCTGCTGCCTCACAATATCTATTGCTGCACACGTGTGTTTATATAATTCTAATGTAGGGATCTGGGGACCTCTCCTGTTAAATGAAGCAGGAGTGTGATGGAAAATTGTTTGAAGACAATTTTGTATTTCAAATACATGTTTTAAGGAATTAAACAGGACAGATTAACATCACCAGATGGCTAGTATGCCATTTTCCTAAAAATAAGACCTAACCTGAAAATAAGCCCTAGTATGATTTTTCAGGATACATGTAATATAAACCCTACCCCAAAAATAAGGGATAGTATAATGTAATATAAACCCTACCCCAAATTTCACTACCCAGTTAAGTGAAACCCCGCCCTCCACTATTGTGCAGCAACCAGAAGATGACATGACTATTTGAATAAATGTAGATTGTTGTACATGAAAAAAAAATCCCCTGAAAATAAGCCCTAATGTTTTTTTTGGAGCAAAAAGACCCTGTCTTATTTTTGGGGAAACATGGTAGTAATCAAATGGATTATATAACTGGAAGCAGAAGATGGAGGAGCTACATGGCCTCTACCTAATTAAAACCAACAACAGACTCAGAGGAGTTTCAAAACACACATCTGAGGGCCAGTCATTGCTAAGGGGAGAGTATGGATGGGACTTCCTGAGCTCATGGGAGCTACAAGGTCTTGTGGGATAGGCAGTTTTTATGAACCTAATGAGCAGAAAGACCATGGTTCCACAGCTACTTTTAGTTCCCAAGGAATTATCAAGTCTGAAACACATTCTCCCTTTGCAATGGCTGCACAGAACATGCTAGGCCTCAGAGGAGTGTGCTGAAATTCCTCCAAGGACTTGGGCTTTCGGGCTACAGAAGCTGGAATGTTTAATGGTTTATAATTTTGCAATTTACAGTGTATTTAATCTGAATTGTTTTAATTAATAAAATGTAACCTCCCAATGGCACTAAACCCCCCCCCCTGTGGGGAGCAGGGATCCATTAAGATGTTCCACTCACGCAGGCTATTGGATCCTGTAGGTTTCTAAGATGCAATGCAGGGGATACCGGCTGATCTTGTTGGTGCTCCTGTTGAAGCTCTAGTGGATGAATGCTATGCGGCAACCACCAGGGCAGCTGACAGGATCGCTCCTAAAGGCCCCCTCCACTCTCTACCCCAGCCAGCTGCCTGGTATAACCTACAGCTGCAGGAGATGAAGCGTAATAGGAGTCTAGAGGGCATTTGGAGACGGGCCCCGATGGTAGCTAACTTAAATGTCGCTAAAATTGTGTCAAATCTTTATTTAGCCAAAGTGAAGGCTATAAGAAAATCCTACTTCGCTTGCCAGATAAGTGAAACTCAGGACCATCAAGCGGAACTATTCCGCATTGTATGTGATTTATCCAGAATTGGTCACAGTGACAGGCCTCCCAGTAGCATCTCCTGAAACCAATTTGTGGCCTTCTTTAAACAAAAAGTGGAGGCCATTCGCCGGAACCTAGACATCTCCTCTTTATCAGTGCATTGAGCCAAAACAAAAAGTGGAGGCCATTCGCCGGAACCTAGACATCTCCTCTTTATCAGTGCATTGAGCCAAGACGTCCAGCACATCGCCTTGCCCAGGAATTCTAACACAATTTCAGCTAGGTGATGTCAGCTGAGGTTGACAGGGTCCTTGATTGCTGCAGGGCCTCACTAGAACCTTGCCTGGCTTGGATCTTGAAAGCCGCCAGGCCGATAACAAGTGAATGGGCGCCAAGATGCGTAACGAATGCACAAATCCGTTTAGAAACCGGCTCACTAACAATGGTAGTCAAAACTGTACTAGCCTCCCTTCAGTACTGGCTTAAAATAAACTTTCAGCTACAGGGATTAACACATCTACTCCTAGAGGATAATTTCCAATCGAGCTGGTTAAAAGCAGTCCTAAATAAATTGCAAGTAATGGGCTTCTCTCCTTGAGCAATATTAAGCATGAAGCAAAATCAGCCCTAAAACAGAGAATAATGGATATGGAGAGGCAGGTAGATCTCAGTAGATGCCCCAATTTTAGAGCAATAGACATGCATAAATGTCGTCCGCTCCCTATGGCCTACCTGTCACAGCTTGAGACATATAAGTTTAGGAAAGCCTTTACTCTGGGTAGATGCGAGGCTTTCTCTTCTGCGGTGTTGGAAGGCAGATTTTTAAAAATCCCGAGGGAACAGATTCTGCCCTTATGGCTCTGGCGAGATCGAATCTATCGAGCACATGATGCTCAGGTGTAACAGGCATAATAAGATTCGAGGAAAATATATTACACTTCTCTTAAAAGATATGGCAGGTTAATCAGATTTGGACTACAGTGGTGCCTCGCTTAACGGGCACTCCGTTTAACGACGAATCCCATAGCGATGGCTTTTTTGCGATCACTTTTGCGATCTCATTGCGATGTTGCTTATAGCCCCATTTTCCCCCAGCTGACCGGCGGGGGCTTGGGAAGGACTGCGGGGGAGGGCTCCCCCTCAGTCTTCGCAAAGCCTTAGCCGGCATTTTCCCCCAGCTGAGCGGCGGGAGCTTCCGAAGCCACTGCCGCTCAGCTGGGCGAAAATGCCGGCTAGGGCTCCCGCGGTACTCCCCAAGGCCCCATT